ATGTTTTTTTTTTTTTTTTTTGCTGTCTTCTGGCGTCCATGGTCCACTCAGCACGTGATCAACCTAATGGTTCATTTGCCTGAATGATAGATCTATGATCAGGTTCAGATGTTAGGCCTTTTATTGCTAAAAATGAGGCGTGCATGCTGTTTACATTCTTGCTGAACTGCACTCAGCTGCTGAGGATGATTAGACACAATCTTTAAAATGTCAAAGTGTTGTTGTTTTTGTGTGTCTTCACTGCCAAAAAATTCAGCAATTCCTTGCTGTTTGTAAGCCTATTCTAATTAGCTTGAGATGAATCTGTCATTTGGCCCCATCATTTTTCTTTAGTGTATTTTGTTTCTTATAAAAATCCAGTAAATTTTATAAGATGCTGATACACTCAAATAAACACCAATTTAAAAAAAAAATTGCTAACGTGATTATCAAAAGTTCTATATAACTAAATCAAAGGTTGTTGTTAATGAACAGTTTAAGACGTTGTAACAGAATGGAATAGGTCGGTCTACAATTTCAATACTTTTAAAGTAAGCTTGGCGCATGTGCGAAAGTTGCGTAATGGTTAATTTTAACACTACTCCCAGATGAACAATTATCAAATTTGTTTTTTCACCCCGTGTGCAAGTTAAATACGCACGGCTTTTTGAAAATCTTTGACTCATGTCTATCTGGAGTCATGTCTATTTGTAGTATAAGGACATCAAATGGAAGGAATATACATACATTAAAAAATAAAAAAGACTTCTTTACTCAAACATTTTAAATGTCTTAATCAGTTGTTCTCGACAGCAAACGCCATATATTTTTTTGTGTGTCCAGACATAGTTATGTGCTCAAGAAATGTTTACACTGTAGAAAATATCTTGTTTAATTTCGTGTAACACGCAAAATTTATAATTCTCTTTCACTACGCTGACTGAATCAGAAGAACGATATTGAGCCCTATAGTGTATGCCCAGCAAATGCAAACGTGCGGCCCGCGGGAAACTTTAGGTCCACTAAGTTAATTATTTGGGCCGGCCGGAAGGCGATTTATATCTTCATTAAATTTAAACATAAGGCCCTTTAGCAAGTTGAATTTTAAAAAAAAAAAGATTGAGAAAAAAAAATCACATTAGTTTGGTTTTAGGTTTTAGTTACTTTGCACTTAGATGATTCTATAAGTGGGTGTTAATTTTAATCATTGGAGGTAATGACAGTCGGCTTGCGAAAACTTCACTCGCAATCAAATTGGCACGGGGAAATGTTTGGCCGGCCACTGCTTATGTGAGAATGCTGAGGATTTACAAAGTTAAAGTATGTTCTCAATAATGTCCTGCACCAATTACAGCCTTCGTACCATGACCTAAACCAACTCAAGTCTCACTATTGGTACTGTTTAGAGCACCAGCTACAGCCCCACCACTGGTACTATGTCCTACACCAAGGACAGTCTCAGCCTTCGTACCATGACCTAAACCAACTCAAGTCTCACTATTGGTACTGTTTAGAACACCAGCTACAGCCCCACCACTGGTACTATGTCCTACACCAAGGACAGTCTCAGCCTTCGTACCATGACCTAAACCAACTCAAGTCTCACTATTGGTACTGTTTAGAACACCAGCTACAGCCCCACCACTGGTACTATGTCCTACACCAAGGACAGTCTCAGCCTTCGTACCATGACCTAAACCAACTCAAGTCTCACTATTGGTACTGTTTAGAACACCAGCTACAGCCCCCCCCTCCACCCACCCTCCCCCCCCCCACCCGTTACTATGTCCTAAACCAAGAAAGTTCTCGAAAGACTGTCATGTTTAAAGTTAAAGTTAATCGCCAGCGACTTCACGTAATAAATACATTTACCATTTTTGGAGAGGCCTGTCAGACAAACACGAATGAATAATAAAGAGAATGAAATATTTTGGAACGAGGATACTGTTCATTTTTATTTTTTTTAAAATTTAATAAGATCTTTAGGCCAACTCTCTCAGGATCCTGTAGACAATAATTTTATTTACTGATAATTTTGAATGTTATCGATATCACTATGCATGTAAAATATTCACCGCCAATATCTACGTATTGTTACTATAAAATGCGTGATGACAACACATATCATTTTACGTCATTAGAGACTGCTATAGATACCAGAGCGAAGACTTCTGATGGGTGAACGCGATTTGACCCAATTAGTTTAACAAGCCGAAAACGTACTGCCAACGTCTCACCTATAAAAAAAAAATTCAAATAAAAAATCAATTGATCACCAATACATTTCGTCTTGAAATACATCTATTGACAACGAATGGCTGATGACAGAATGGTGTAATAGGTTAGACCGTTACTGGGGTGAAGATAAGTAGGTGAAATGTGCAGAGCGTGGAATGACCAATTCAAGACCGTACGGTTTTTATTTGGCAGGTATCGTTTACAATGCAAGAAAGAGGACACAATGTAATGCATATTGGAGAACACAACCAATGAGAAAGTCAGGTGGTTTGATGGTTGGTAGAGAGAACACTACCGATGAGAAGGTCAGGTGGTTTGATGGTTGGTAGAGAGAACACAACCGATGAGAAGGTCAGGTGGTTTGATGGTTGGTAGAGAGAACACTACCGATGAGAAGGTCAGGTGGTTTGATGGTTGGTAGAGAGAACACTACCGATGAGAAGGTCAGGTGGTTTGATGGTTGGTAGAGAGAACACAACCGATGAGAAGGTCAGGTGGTTTGATGGTTGTTAGAGAGAACACAGCCGATGAGAAAGTCAGGTGGTTTGATGGTTGGTAGAGAGAACACAACCAATGAGAAGGTCAGGTGGTTTGATGGTTGGTAGAGATTTGCGTCCCTTATGTTCCATGAAGAAATGAAACGATGAAACATGAGATGACCTTCCTCATTGACAGAGCCATTGGAAAACTTGCGTAGACTGTCAAACAAGATGGGACTAGCAGAGTCAATGAAAAGCGAAAAGTTCTGTTACATATAACAATAAATTTACAATATTGGCACAGGGATACTAAATTAATAAATAAAATGTATACATTAATAAGTCTATAAAACAATAAATAAATAATTAACTTCCAAATAAACCGATATCCCAGATATTTGGACGAGCGTCGCTGAAAGACGAAACAAAATTGATCCAAGTTTAAAAACAAAAGTTCAGCATCATACATCAGAGTTAAGCTAAATAAAATAGCACTAACCATTCCAGTGTAAACAAATCAATAATTAACTACAACAAATGCTGACCTTGAACGCATTCTAACGATAACAATAGTCTGTCGTCAAGACGTTGTATCGATTTTAAAAATATTTATAATGTTACAGGGTCGAACATAAGTTGATGTAGCATACAGACCACAAGATGACCGGTCGTATCTTATGATACGTGTGTCGATAAATATACACCATAGTTTTCTCCCAAGCAAGCGAAGATTG